CACGGATGGGTGAAAACTAATTCCATTAACTAAACTGCACTGATCCTTATTGCTTTTAAAATAAAGGCTTTTGTTTTATTTTCGTTGCGGTTTACTGAGAGTGGTTCCTGGTACGATTGTTCTTGTTTCGTGACGAGAAAACACGAGTGATGGGTACATTTATCTACCGGTGTAGCATTATGGTGATGCATCGTACATGAGGCTTCAATAATCCATTGTTGAATACGGGTCACTCCAGAAAAGGAGAATTTACCTTACGCGCTAAGTAGGTTAGTTGAACGCAATAAAAATCAAAAATTGTAACCAATGGCTGGGACAGGGTGTTCCAAATGAGATAAACCTACATATAGGTACAAGGAGTAACATGGAGTGGTTAAAACCACCAAATATCAATCGATTGCTTGTTTCGAATTCATAATTAAATTTGTAAATAACGCACACACGCACACATTCTTAGCCCCGCACTAGGGAAAACCATGGACACACACATAAACAACCACAAATTACACCCAAACTCACGAGAGAAATAAATGTCGGCCATAGAAACATTTTTCCCGGCCCGGAAATCGAACCCCGAACCTAAGCGTGGCTGTCCAGTATGATAGCCACGGAGGTAACTATACCTCCGAATTAGTTGAAATAAACTTTTGCTTGAAGGTTATAAAAATGTTTTCTTTATTGAAACATTAATTATCCACTTATAATTTTTTTACATGGCGCTTCAAGAATTACTTTAATGGTGGCACTTCACATGTCTATTTGCATTTGCGTATTTGATATATTTGACACAACACCACGTGTAGATAGCATGTGTGACAAATTATTTGCCTTGTTTGTCTATTCGACAAATACAAAATGCAAATACCAAAGACGCGTTACCCCACGCTGGTCGGTTTCTTGACGCACATCAAAGTAAACATGTTCGTTAATTTAACTCCATAAATGTTGACTTTAGAGGATGGAATAGACGGCATATTTGTCAGTGTGTGCATGTTTACCTGTACGTCCGATATTTTGTTTACTTCGTCAATGGAAATACTGCCACCTTAACCATCTCCACCGCCAAGCAGTAACGTGAGCACTACTGCGTTCCGTTTTTGAAGAGTTGTGGGTGCTGGTGAAATCACATGGTACTGTAGGCTTGAGTTATATTATATATCTCTTCCATTCCTTCAGAGACTTTTCAAAAATAAAATATAAAAATTTTCACATCGGAATTCGCGCTTCACCATTTGTAAGCTGAGGCGTAGCTTAGGATGCGTAACGAGAGGTACTTTATAAGTATAAACTGGGATAATCTTTAAAACTCGATATTTATTGTACTTTTCTACATGTTCATTTCTTGAGGTTACTATACGATCTATCAAGATGTTCTGTTCTTTCTAATCTATTATTTCAAAACACATTCTAAATACAAAACTATATTCACTCAGCCAGTAGTTCTACTCATAGAGTAGAGCCTAGACTACAGTACTTATCAACTTATCTTTTTTTATAACTTCAAGTGACGGGACGTACAAGTCGTACGCCTGATGGTAAGCTACACGCCTGCCTAGAACAGTTACAGTGCCACTAGGAGATTTATGTTGCAAAGATCTGAGGGGCACTACCACTGCACCCTGAGACGTAAGTTGACAAGTCATGTGCCTGTAATTTCACCAGCACCCTTACCCTTCAAAACCCCATGGTGACACTATGACGGGCGCAGTGAGAGTGCTTCTCAGATCTTTGCAATTTAAAGCTCTGAGTAGCACTGTCAGGGACGGGAGTACCGCTTACCACCAGACCTTCGCCTTGATCGTCCCACTGCGCCCGTCACTCTGAGACATAATGCACCCTTACCCTTCAAAACCGAAATGCTGTAGGTAATGCTCACGTTACTGCATGGCGGCAGACATAGGTAAGGTAAAGCAGAACGTACGAACTGTTTTAGATCTCCTTCTCTACTGCTACTAAAGTCACTAAGTAGATAAGTAACATTTTAGCTCGTACATTGGATATAATCACAGTAATGTTTTAATTAAGATATCCAATGCACATGCCGTTAATGTAAGAAACAAGGGATGCGAATTTCGATCTTCCATGTTGCCTTAAGCTCTGTATTCCTTCTCATCGCACTGATTTTTGTGTTCCTGCTCTGTGTAAGACAAGCTCAGAATAAATCATCTTTCAAGCGTACTTTTGGACAAAACACGACGAGGGCCTGACTGAATTGTATAGACTGACCGTACAATTAATATGTCACGATAAGATACTCGAATACTCACTCGTAAATAATAAAAATTGCCACCACAATTAGGTAGAAAAAACTTCCCTAAAAATTAGCCATTTCTTAGATCGCAACGGTCTATGGTTTATACGTAGGTATTAGTGTACTCATTTTGGTGTCTTGATTGTGCTTTCATATTTCCTTGTTGTGTTGCGACACGACGGATGATGGTCTGACCTACCTACGATATTATTAGAGAATCCAATAATGAAATTTAATAATTTTAGCAACCTCTATTACTGATCATTTCTGCCGTGAGGAATGAAATTGGTAGGATTACTGATAGCTACATTTCACAACGCACTATTACCTACATACATTGCGGAACCATTACACTGCCCTTCTTGTCATAAACAACGCATTTGTACCTATTTTAGTAAAGGTTTTTTCTTTGAAAATTTTGCGTTAAATACTGTTTTAAAACTCAATTTTGGTTTGAATTAAGTTTTAAAATTGAATTTGAAACTGGACGTAAATGTTTTAAAACACTCGTCAAAATCCAAAACATGCTCCCTTAAAAAATATTTTCGAAATGGCGCTTTCTCCCTTTATACAAAATACTGCGATCATGTTCTCTCACTCTCTAACCACTCTCCGCAGAGTAAGCAAACTTTCTACCTTTCTACAAAATACTGCGATTATGTTCTC